TAATTAAAAAATAAGTTGCTTATGTTCAGTTGGTTATATTCAGTAAAGACCTGTTATGGAAAAAAAAATCGGAATTTTTCCTAGGAAAGACTCCTAATTCTTTTAATAAGACATAAAATCTTAGAAATTTTTAAAAAGTTTTTGTGGAACAAAAACTTGAAAAGAAATTAAAAGGCTTGGGGAAATATAATGATGCGTCACTTCGGCTTGTTGAAGACGTTGATAATTTATTATTAGTTGGGAGAAGAATTGGTTGTTCGTAAGAAATAGTGCTTGAAGAAATATGTTGACGAATCGTTGTAGGAAATTATTATTATTAATTTATCTGATTATTCCATTGTTCAGAGTGCTGAATTTAACTAATATAGAGACAAATCAAATTTGATTATTAATATAATAATCTATATTTTTAAGAAATAATTGACTAGCAAAAGCATGAATAAAAGTGAAAATATAAAAAAAAAATAACTGGCTAGCAAAAGCATGAATAAAATAAACTAAACACATAAAGAGATGAATAAAAAAAAATAAAGGCAAGCGATAATTTTTAAAACCAAAAGAGACATTTTTAGAACAACAGAGTTGGTGATTTTTTTAGAGTTTTGTTGTGGAATTTGAGTTTTCTTATAACCCGTTATGGGTTTTTCTAGTTTGCTTTACAAGATTATAACTATCCCGTTACGGGTACTTTATATTTGTTACTGTTTGTGTTGTTTGTGAAACAAAGTTATTTTTTTATACGATACGGAACTGTTATTTATATAGCTTGATACGTTACAGCTTCATAAAAATAAAAAAATTTCCTCAATTTTAGTGTAAATGACTGAATTAATAAATTTTGAAAACGGCCCGGTGGGCGTGGCCACTGGGTGGGAAGCTCCACAGGACACCTGCGTAAATCAAGAAATCAAAAATAAGAGTGTCACGTATACGTTAGCTTAGTTTTTATTAAGAAAAGGTAAGAAATCCATGTATTTGACGTGAATTGATTTAATTTATTTCCAAGGCTCATATTTTGACCTTACGCATGCAAATGTGTCGGTGGAAAATAAAGAGAGAAGAAGAATAATTAATTTTAGTAAAATCAAAACATCTAGCAACCATGTAACAGTTTTCAAATTCTATGTTAATGTGTTAGGCCGAAACGTGATGGCTCAGAGGATAGAGCGCTCGCCTTCCCATGGGGTGACCGGGTTCGAATCCCAGTGATGGCTGGTTTCCGCATACGGCTTGCACCAACCACAGTGCTGACGTAAAATATCCTCAGTGGTAGACGGATCATGGGTTAAAGTCTCCTTGCTGACGGGCTAACCGTGGGAGGTTTTCGTGGTTTTCCCATTCATGTAACGCAAACACGAGTTAGTTCATTCAAAAAGTTCTCCACGAAGGCAAAATTTCTTCCGATACTTGATCCTGGAGCTCCCTTGTCTTCTGGATTGGGTTCAAAATAACAAGGCTATGACGTTGAACATTGTTAGTCGTAAACCCAAAATTGGATCGGCTGTTCAACGATGGTTATAAAATAAAATGTATAGAGGGGATTTTTAAAAATACATTTTATTCAGCACTTAATTCAAGGTTGCGGTGCAAAAAAGATTTCCAATTACACTAATGATTTTTAGTTATTGAGAAAGAGCTGAAATAAGATAATAATTTAGTTTTTAAGTGGTAGGAAATATGTTATGGACATTTTTGCATGGCAGTCAAAATTTTTCGAAACGTGCCTTTTTTTTAATGCATCAGACTGTCTCTTAGTATTGTTTCAAGATAGGTATTAGGCAAATTTTTGATTTGTTTATCTCCGAATAGCAGCACAATATACAGCACTATCGTATTGCCCATTTAGAAAATTTCATCAAAAACGGGTTTTCATCGTGTTTTTCATCAAAAACCTTTTTTAAAAAATTGTTTGAGGGAGAAAATGAAACTGGAACTCAATTATATACAACACAATTCAAGTAAATTATCAATTAAATTTTTAAATTGAGGTATACCGAAAACTATTGAATTTTTTTTAACAACTTTGTGTGTTAACATAAAAGAATACTTAGGTAAATGATTATGTAAATTAGTATTGGGTATAAACTTTACAGTTTAACTGTTATAGAAAAATTTTGTTTAATTCTCTGACAAATAATTCAACATTGCTACTACATAATGCAGTTTTTGTTTTATTTTTTTTTTTAAAAAAAAGAGGTGTGTCGTTAAACAGTAGCGATATGCCGTTTGCTTAGACTTGACAAAATGTGTGTCAAAACGAAATTTGCCGTTTCTGTCCGTGTTGTGCTTTTATTTATAAAATCTTCAGTATTAGTGTTGGGAAAAAAACCATCTGTACAATTTAGATGCATTTGCAAAATGGCCGGAAATTTTAGAAAGCTACATCAAATGTATCAATAAGCGATTAGCTGTAAAATGTGCGTTGAGTTTGTTTCTCCTGCACTGTCTCATTCATGCGCTTTGCGGAGAAAAAACATTGCTATCGTTCGTCAAGAATAGAGGGTGGAAACAAAAATCTGATCAGTTCGTATTTCACTGAAGTTCATTTGTCTCGGGAAGAAAAATAATTTTGGGGCCTAAATTCGAAACAACGCTTTAATTTTGAACTTTGAACTACGATATGATTTCCATAACATTACAGAATACTACTACAGAACATTACATTATTCCATAACATTATAGAATACTACTTCAGAACATTACATTATTCCATAACATTATGGAATACTACTTCAGAACATTACATTATTCCATAACATTATGGAATACTACTACAGAACATTACATTATTCCTTAACATTATGGAATACAACTACAGACCAGTACATTATTCCATAACATTATGAAATACAACTACAGACCAGTACATTATTCCATAACATTATAGAATAATACTAAAGAACAGTACATTATTCCATAACATTATAGAATAGTACTATACAATAGTACTATAATGTTATGAAAAGTTATGAATCTTATTGAAAGGAACTATAGAGAAGAGAAGAGAGTACTATATAGTTTAGAAAAGTTCTGTCACGACTTGATTTACTTAAAAAAAAGAAAAAACTTTTCATAACATTTAGAATAAATCATCCGGTTTGCTTTGTATAAAGTATATTAAACATTGCTTAAAGTATATTAAAACATTATAAATGATGGTGATCTCAAAATCTGAATGCTAACACTTGACATAAAATATCGGAAAAGTTATTTATTCACGTTTGTTTTTTTTAAAGGTTTTTTGAAAACAATTTATTACCTAAGTTACCCTAAGGCNGATGGAAACAAAAATCTGATCAGTTCGTATTTCACTGAAGTTCATTTGTCTCGGGAAGAAAAATAATTTTGGGGCCTAAATTCGAAACAACGCTTTAATTTTGAACTTTGAACTACGATATGATTTCCATAACATTAAAGAATACTACTAAAGAACATTGCATTATTCCATAACATTACAGAATACGACTATAGAATAATACTATAATGTTATGAAAAGTTATGAATCTTATTGAAAAGAATTATAGAGAAGAGAAGAGAGTATTATATTGTTTAGAAAAGTTCTGTCACGGCTTGATTTATTTAAAAAAAGAAAAAACTTTTCATAACATTATTTAGAATAAATCATCCGGTTCGTTGGTATGCTTAAAGTATGTTAAAACATTATAAATGATGGTGATCTCAAAATCCAAATACTAACACTTGACATAAAATATCAGAAAAGTTACTTATTCACTTTGCTTTTTAAACTTTTTTTAAAATTTATTACCTAAGTTACCCTTAGGCTTGACATATTGTCATTTCAAATAAATAAATATAAAGTTATCTTTTATTTAATAGAAAACAAGGTTAGGGCGTTTAAAGAAGCTTTTAAAAACTAAGTTTATATGTCATACTCCATTTCCTTATTTTTTTTTAACGACATGTATAGATTTCAAATTAATTACAAAAATAATTTCATATCAACACAGAAATAAGATGTAAAATAAGTTAGTAAGTACTTAAGTTAAAATTTAGTAAAATGAGCACTAATATTAGGAAAAGTTCCTGAATTTGACGCTTAATTAAACTAAAATGAACTATCGAAATGTTTTATTTTAGTAATGGATACACTAAATGATCTAGAATTATATTCATCTTATTTTACAAATTATTCTAACTAAAAACTGGTAATAAAATGTTAAGAATTATATAAAAATAACTTTCGAAATTTCCTCATATTTTTTTTATGAAATGTCAAGCATATTTTATTCATAATATTTCTAAATTTTATAAATTATTTTCCGGTTATCTTTAAATGCAGCAAATATATTTTTTGTTGAATTTATAAATTTTAAATGATTAAAAAAATTTTTTTTTTGTACAAAAAAAGTAAGCTAAACTAATAAGTATTATAGTATAATATAAATATTTAGGATATAAATATGGTTGAACTTCTATTTGTAAATTATAATGAAACAATATTTTTAAGTCTATAAGAAATTATTTTTATTATTCACATATTAAACAGTTTTGCTTATTTCTTTTTATAATAAACGTAATCATAATCCTGTGTTTATACGACAATATGTTTATTGTTATATGACAATATGTTTATTGTTTAATGACAATACGTTTGTTATTGTACATTATATGTTGCAATTTTAATATGTTACAAATATAAAGTGATATATTTATTCAAAACTTTTTTGATGAAAGTATGTAATAGTAATATATGTGAATAGCTTAATGTTTTAAAGTAAATATTCAGTGAAAGAAGAATATAATATATATTAATTTAATCCAAAAACTGATATATATATATATCATTTCAATTTAAAGTACATTACTCCATTGATAGTATATTTTAACATAATAGATCTTTAATATAATAATAGATGTAATTGACTTTAACATTGCAGACGATAAAAGTTAATGTATATTTGTTGATTATAAAGTTATAAGCAACATGAAATCTTGAAATATTGAAGCCCTCTAGGGCTATTATAAATCTCATCATTTACCTTTAGGGGGTAGATTCTTGTTGGAGGCATGGTTGTTATTGGTGAAGGGCTTTACTTGTTGGATGCTGATCATCTTGAGAACAATTGAAAAATCGAAGGAATGAGTTTCTTATTCCACTTGGAATAAAGGAATGACTCTACCTGCATCCTTTCACCTTCTTTTCATCCATCTTGTTTCCTATCGAGTATGCTACCAATTTGGCGAAAAATCGCCTTTTTTCCGGAAGTAAACACTACTTTTGTTGACCCTAACCTAAAAAAATGGATTTTGATTTCAAGGTTCCAAATCTTTCACCGTCTGATTTCTGAGAAAGAAAAGATCTCAGCCGACCGTCGAAGGCTACCTGGCGTAAAAAGTTTGTTTTAAACGTTAGAATGGAACGGAATTGGTTATTGGCGTAATCAGTCACACATTATTAATCGCTTATCTTTTGCATCTAATTAGATGGGTTTAGCCCATACACTAATTGGCGGATATTCGGTGATAACTGAGTTGTTTGTTTTGGCATATATCGACTTTTAATTGTATTTCAATGTCACTTCAATGCAGTTTGAGTGATGTACTGAAATAAGTAGAAAAAACTGAAAGAAACTGAGCAGGATTCTGAGTGAAAATAGTGACATTGTTTCCAAAACTCATTGTTTCACCTTGATTTGACAAAATTTTATTTAATTTTTATAATTTTCAAAAGAACGCGATATTTATTCAGAAAATGTAGTAAAAAATAATTATTTTAGTTAGTTTTGTTGAAGAATTCTTTTATAATTACCACAAATAACGAGGCCCTATTAAGAAGTAAAAATTTGATTCATGATAATCTAAAACGGAGCTACGAAAATCGGAGCTTAAAGAAGCACAAATAGTTTAATTTTGTATAGGAAGTAACATTTTTTAAAATTTGATGTGATTTGAAGCTTTTGTTTCTGAGAAAAAAATTGAAGCTACTGCTAGTTATTCGGAAAATATATATATATAAAAACAACTGGTAATTAAAACATTTCTACTTTCACTTTTGATAGGAAAATACCTTTTTATTTTTTACATTTTAACAAGTATCTATACTTAAGCGTGAAATCTCTTTAGATTAAAGGTAACTGTTAAAAAAAATGTAGTAGTTATGGATAGTTTATTTCTTTTGAATAACAGGTGGAGTGGAATTTTTTTTGCTTTTAATGATTTTTTATTTTCCGCATAAATAATAGATCTGGTTTAAGTGTTTTATGTTTATTATGATTTGAATAATTATTGAAATCATAAAAGCATCTTTCGGAAATGATTGTAATTATTTTTTATTTACCGGATAAGTAATGGATCTGGAATATGCTTATTCTTATGATTGGAATAATTATTGAAATCATAAAATCGTCTTTTGAAAATGATTATAATTATATTTATTTTCCGTATAAGTAATAGATCTGCTTTAAGTGTTTTATGCTTATTTTTATGATTGGAATAATTATTGACATCATAAAAGCGTCTTTTGGAAATGATTATAATTATTTTTTATTTTCCGGATAAGTAATAGATCTGATTTAAGTGTTATATGATTATTTTTATGATTGGAATAATTATTGAAATCTTAAAAGTGGTTTTTCGAATTGAAATATGTATTTTTCAAGTCACAATCGGTAAAAATAAAAATATTTAAGTAACATTACTTATTTTCTATTGCTAAAATATTTTTGGAAAAGTATAAGAAATGTTATTAATGATACTACTTCTGCTACAACAACAGCAGCAACAACAACAACTACTACTACTACTAAAACAAATAATAATTATTAGGGTACTTTACCCCCCTGTTTATTAAAGTTTGCCGAGGTTCAAAAGGATGTCTAAACGAAATCTTCTAATGTTTTAGGGAGAGAGAGAGTGCAAACGAAAAGATAAATATTTTTAGATACGTTTATGTAATAAAAATTTCTCAAATCTCTTATTTAAACCATTTTAGATTTAAATTTAAAACATGTTTTGCTTTAAAAAACTAATGTAATTGCGAGAAACAATCCTTAAGGCTGGTGAGCGGACAGAGTAAGATGTGGAGTTTTCTTGTATAATGTACATTTCCTAATGGAATATTTTGAAACTATCAAATTAATTTTTGCCACAACATAGTTGTTAAACACCTTTACAGATCTATCAATTTGTTTAATGAAAGGGAAAACGATATTTGACCTTTACAGATTTATCAATTTATTTCATGAAAGGGAAAACGCAATATTTGACCTTTACAGATCTATCAATTTACTTAATGAAAGGTAAAACGCCATATTTGACCACTTTCAAGAAAGAATTTTTTTTTATATTTACGATGTAAAAAAAATGAATAAAATTGTGTGCAGTCAACTGATTAATTCATCATCACAATTCTCGAGATATTAACAAAATGGTTTCTGGATTTTGGCAAATAAGCGTTTTGATGAAAATAAATATTTACATTAATATATTATTAGAAGTTATAGTTAATAAGATTCGTTTAACGAGTTAGAACTTAACGATCAGCTTCATGCACAATGTGATGCATGCAAAAAGTGTATTGAATATATCTGTCCGCCTGGGTAATCGATGATATTACATTACGATTGTTAACTCACCAAATTTCCTATAACAAGATACTTTTTATTTTAAATGTTATTTAAAAAAAATTATGATTTATTTCAGTTCACTAATAGATCTTAATGGAATCATAATGGAATCATAATGAAAATATATGGAGGGGGTGGGTGGGGGGCACAAGCCTAAGCAAACAGAAATCTTTTTAGCAAATATATTTTAAGGGGTCACAGTACCCTTGCAATATTTTTTTAAAATAAAGGTATAATCATGTATTTTGTGGATGCTTTACATGCTCTTTTAACTTATAATCAATAATTTATCTTCAAAAAATAGTTAAACTGTTCAATTTTTTTAAAATTTGAAAAAAAATTGAGAAAATTCAAAATTTTTAAATTCTTAAGGCTTTTTTATTTTAACATATTTTCAAATTTTTTTTCTTAGTGCTTACAATATTCATTAACATTCTTAACAAGTTCGTGCATTCATTTGTTGATATACCAGTTAAAAGAATTTTTATAGATTATTTTGTAAAAAAGTAGAAAAAAAAGTTAAAAATTCCTGTTAAGTATAACATGCTGTAAAAATTGTAATACCTCATGAAATTCTTATTCCATGCACAGTTTAAATAAGTGTATTATACTTAAGATAAAAAAGTTTACTTCAAAGCTTTATCTTAAATAGAAAAAACTTTCCTAGGGATTTAATTAAGGTTAAAACACAAAATTATCATCTATGAGAAAAACCACTTTAAAGTCTGTATGCTGAACAAGTTTCTGTATTAAGGCAATCTAAAATCATTCAGAACTTTTTAAAAAACTGTAGATAGAGACATGATTTTTTTTCAGTGCATTTGAAATAGTTTTGAGTTTTATTATAAGCAAAAAAAAATTTTCTCGATATTTTGGTCAGTTTTTGGGTAAGTGAATAATTTAAACATTCGTAGAAAAATTGTTTTATGTCAAGAAACAACAAAAACAACAATTATTGCGAAGCAATAACCGAGATTAGTGAGTTGACAGAGAACAGGAGCTTAGTCCCCTTAGTGGGAAAATAATACTGCAAAAGCGAGAATTGAAACCACGAAAATTGCTTTATTGCAGTAACAATCAATACTGATGTGAACTTATTTTTTTAAGAAAAAAGATCTTGTGTGCCACTATTTCAAACAGGAAAAATAATTAAATAAATTTTTTTTAATCGTGATTCATCGATAACGAGTAGAATTTATTTCCCTTTATTTCTTCTCGTTGAGTCACTTCGTTGATTTTTTCTGAAATATAATTGGTTATTTTTTAATTCCAGGTTATCATTTAGTTGTAATTAACATATTAACGAAATGTTCTTACATAAAATTATAATAAATACATATTTTATTAAAAAATTGACATTTTGTTTTATAAAAAAATATTAACTTTTAGGGAGAAAAACAAAAACAATGTTGAATGAGACGCAATCACGGAGGTCAAGTGAATAAGAGGTGGAGTCTCACTGTGTTTTCGAAAAATTAGTAAATGTTATATAAAAAAACACTGTCACAATATTAATTTACATAAAATTAAAGTACTTGTATTCACTAAAATATTTACAGAACGGTGCTGAATTAATAAATAAACAGTTAAATAAATTTGATACGTCTTTTTAGCACTGCATAATCGTTTTTCTATAAATATTCTGAGCATTTTGACTTGCAGTCATTCAAAAAGACTAAATTATTAATCAAAATCTTTTTACGGTCTAAGATGAGATTTTAAATTCCAAACATATTTCAATTAAGGATACGGAAAAAAAATTCTGGTAAAATAACCGCACTGTATAGTAATGACATTTTTGGTAAAAAATCTGGTTAATAAAACCAAAATACACAGTATTTAAACCCTTCATTTGGTAATTTTTCCGTATATATGGTAACGGCTTACTGGCAATTTTGGTGTTTGAAATAATAGTTCTCATTACCACACGTTTAGTAAAAAATACAAGACTTAAAAGTAAATTCAACCAAAAGCAAAAATACAAGACTTAAAGATTAATTTAACCGAATAAATTGTTTTTATGCAGTGCTCCAAGGTATCGGGATAAAATCGGGGATTGGTACCAAATTTTACAGCACTTACCCGTTTCATCACACACTGTAAAACCATATCTTATTGTTAATTATACCAAAATCATTACCCCAGCGCTTCGGTAAAAATGATCAAGCTTTTTGGTATTCTCAAAGAGTCAGAAACACATTAAACTTTAGCATATTCTGGAAGTTTTGACCATAATTTTTTCTTAGCGAAGGTTATTTTTTCTCTTAGTTAAAGGGGGGCATAAACGATATTCTATAAATAACTATGCCTTTTCACAACCATCTCTATAGTAGGACCGTGGACATTGGACAGTAATAAGAAAACTTTTAATTTGGGTCAAGCAATAAATCAATTATGCTACTGATCAATCATTTAAATATATGTTTATTGACAAATATATGAGCAACAACAATTTTTACAATCATTTATATAGTCGTTTCATAACTTATCTCTTATAGGTACATTCCGCGAATATCAGGGCATTATACACAGTCCTCATTAACCTGTTATACTGTAAAAAGCTCGACTACTGTAG